TGTTGTTGAAGGTATGATACACAATTACCTGGTCAATAGAAACATATTTTAAGTTTGTATTAAATTGTATTTGTGCTGTAGAGTGTGAAAACGAGGTGAACCCTCTGCTATTATATTACATGCAGTGTCAGCCAACATGCATTTTCCCATTTGTTTAGTAGTGGAAGATGGGTCTTGTTACTGGTGTTGATGGGCAGACATCACAGGGCAGTGTGACTGTAGAGGCGTTCTACTTACAGCTGCAAAATGTGGTTTCCTGACTGACTATACACAATCAAAACACGGCACTCACTTCAAAAAAAACCTGCTTTAGAAATATATTTGTAATGAGCATTTCCTCAAGCGCAAACATGAGTGAAATATAACACTTGCAGATCAGAGAAACGCGCAATGATTCAAACTGAAAGTAGACAAAATGACAGGAGGTGAGATTTTTTTTTCTGCTCTTGAAGACATCATCCCTTGAAATGCAAATTGCTGAGGATGTGTGACTCATTGCGAAAAACCCATTCTTCTTTGTGCTGACTTCATTTTTCATAATGAGGAAAAGAAAGCCCCTGATGGCAAAAGGAACCTCGTGACCAACACTTATTAGGCCACACTGGGGGTGATTCAGGCCAATAATATTCTGGCTTTTGTCTGTGTGTCTGTGTGTGTGTGTGTGTGTGTGTGTGTGTGTGTTGTTTTATTGATTTATTCATAGCCCCAAAGGAAATATCTGCTGCATTCCACCTGCTCCTCCAATTTCCTCATGGAGGACATGAGGATACAGATAAAGGAACTCGTACGCACTCACGGCAGACATGCACACGGCATCACTATGGCGCTATCACAAAGAATGCAAGGTCCTAATACAATTGTAGCCTAGGGAGCATTCCACATCAGCCGGATCACATCTAGTCTTCCACTTCAACTTGAGACGGATCTGTGCAGAGGTCTTCGACTCATTCCTGCTTTGACACGGCTCCTCCACGTCTTATTTTCGTGTTTGTTGCATCTGGTGAAACGAAAAGTCATCATGAACACTTTCAATTAGATGTTGTAAGTCTTACTTTCAGAAGTGTCAGCTGTAGCTGTGTGGTATTTAAGTGCAACCGGCTGTTCTCACACACAAGTCCTGAGCTGCTGGTGCTACGTGCTGTTAATCAATGTGTCAGGCAGCAACCACAGAACACCAGTATTCTTGCGACTTGTAGGAAAACAAATACAAATCGTATCTGTAACCACTTTGGCAGCAGAAGTGCACGACATTGTGCATTCAAATCTACCCAAAGCAATACATTGTGTGAAAACACAATTCGGACACACAAAGAATGTCAGTGTGTAGTTTCAGAAGAAAAAGTAAGAAGGGTTAACTCCCTGTACTGTTTATGAGCACCACTAATTTTATTTCGGTCGTATTCTCTATGTTAAAAACTCGAAATAGCTGGAGCTTAAACCCAGAAAAATTAAAATACAGACGTTAGAGATTTTCCACTGAGCTAAATTTACTGGTAAATTTGAAGGCAGCTTTTCAAAGTACTCTTTACCCTCAATACCTTGCCTTTCATTTTGTGTCGTGTTGTGCAGTGAGAGTGAACTGTTTGTGTGGGTGTGCACGTCTTTGAGCCGTCGGCTTGAACAGCCACGAACCAACCCCTGATCTTTGACCCCTATTCACGCTCGCTGTCACTTCAGCTCTAAGGCCTGACAACAAAGAGCAGCTTTTGTTCCCGGATTTACTCTTCCATGCACATTCTTTGCTCCTCCAGTCTGCTGCTTGCAGAGGAGCTGACTGAAACTGTCCCAGGACAAAACCCTTCATATTAGTTTATATATTTAAAATAACTCAGACATTTCGTAGGAGTTGATTCAGTTCCCTCAATGTCTGTCACCTCTTTCTGTGACACTCTCGGTTCTGGCCGCGCCGCCAGTGTCAGATCAGACACGATTTGAAAAGATGATTAATATGTGAATGCGTGAGTCAGAACCCTGAGATGAGTTATTTTACTGGAAAACACAAAGTGAGAGGATGGGGGGGGGGGGGGGGGGGGGGTCGGTGTTACTTGGCCCCTGTCTCGTTCACACATGTATGGGTTGCTGGAGGAATGTGTTGATGCATGCGAGCAAACAAAACCAATATCAGGCCCATGTTTGTCTATATGTGTGTAGGAGTGACGCGAGCAGTGGAGCAGCAAGTTTCAGTGTCTGGGCTCGATGCTGAGGAAGGAGAAAGTCTGCTGTGTGTGTCGGCAGCGTTCTAATCTGTGTCTATCACACACTACACACACGCACACACACACACACACAAACCATTTAATGCCTTTGTCTCTGCCTGTCCTTCACACGCATACACATGAGGGCTGTGAAGTAAAAGAAAAAGGGGAAATTCTTGTGCTGAACTGATGCCTGGGTGCCGTGCTGGGACAATAGAGTGGGTGTGGGAGCAGAGAGAGAGAGAGTTAGTTTACAAGTCATGCTATTGCAGCCAGTTGAGGGGTGGAGAATATAGACTTGTGAGAAAGAGCAATGTCCTGTTATCATGGAAAGGAAATGCCACTTAATTGTGTTAAACGCACTCATGCATTCACTTCTTTTCACTTCGTTTCTTCGTAGAGTTAATACGCGCATCCACACGGACTAGTGTGAAGTTGACACCTGCTCTCAGACATGTTCAGAGAACTGAACCCTCCATTGTGTGATAGGTGTCTGTGGGCGGAGGAGGCAGAAGTTCACTGTTTCTGTCGCTTCATCAGTATGTGGTCTATAGGCAGAGAGCTCCAAAATGTGGAGGAAGGTCGAGGCTGACGTGAGTCACACATAAACGCTGTGTGTGAATTCACCACCAGTGTGATGCTGACGAGACTTGTTGTCTGATTCAGAGCTCGACTGTGTGCTCCTTGTTCGGTTTAAATTTAGTAACAAAGAAATTCACACATTGAGACGTTTGAGTAGAAATATGAAAGTGATGTGCGGAAAAAGTGTATTTGAGCCCATTAGCTCACCTTGAAGCACGGGTGCCATGCAGAGGTGAGCTAGTGGGTGCCCCAGGGATGTAGTTGGATTTATTTCAATCATATCACAGACCTTACTCTACAATTGTAATGCCTCAGTATACTTTTCAAATCTTCATTTTGCCCACCATCATTTAGATGTGTAAATATAAAGAATTAGCTGCTGTTCATACTTGGCTTTATTGTTCATTATGAAATCATTGTAGCTTAACATTCCCGACATTGTACCTCACATTATATTCTCACATATAAGAAACCTCTACAAGGAAAAAGTTTGAAAGTAGCAGCTCACAGCTACTGCTTGGAAAACCACTGTACAACCTATTCCCTCTCAGCAAGATGTGGTGCATTTGTCCGATAACACCCTTATGTATTTGTTCCGTCTCTCAAACCACAGCAGTCACACCCAAGCGCCTTTTCCCACAAATTCTTGATGCTGATCTTGAATGATCAAAAAATGAGAAGTGCCCAAACCACAAAGTCATGTGAAGCTTGTTCCAGTTTCACTTTGTGTACTAATACTAAGGTGATAAATTAAAATTGCCTTTTTTTATTGTTGATTGGTATACTCTAGTAATGAATAGTATATATAGTAGATAAAATTACTTTATTATCTAAGATCATCTTCACCAGAATATATATATATATATATAGAAACACAGTTCTATTCCTATAATGCAGCTTCACATTTTGTTGTGCTGGTTGGTTTCAACCCAATGCAAGAACTGATTCCTCATGTAATCTATGCAAATATTGTAAGTTGCATATTTCCCTGCACCTGTCTACTTAGTGTTATCACATGGAGCCCCCTCAGTTGTACAGAATTCATCTTATAATCATTTAATTAGGAATAAAATAGGTTATTGTCCATAATCAAATAATTCTGTTAACTTCATTGTAAATGTGTGTAAACTCTTGATGATCAGAAGAACCTAGATTTTTTAAATCATCCATTTGGGGTAATTGATTTATCAAGTAAGAGACTGGCTAGAGGTTCAAAGGACACTGCTGTTAAAGCCTGACTGGAGTGATCTTAACAAATTAGATTAATCCTCAACTATTTTACTGAGCCAGGATCAGTCAGATTCACAAAGTAAACTCTGAGTTCAAAGAACTGCCACTTATGCAAGTCTTTGATTCATGTTTAAATATTGAAATATCACACGTCATTAAGTGAGTTAAAAATATGACTCACATATTAAGTGTTTTTTATTTTATTTTAAAAGAATAGCTAAAGCCAGAGGAATACATTTTACTGGCATTTGTGTGTTCGATTAACAGGCGTCTGAGCTCGAACATTTTAGTTCTGCAACATTGCAGTGACCACTGAGCCTGTGCATGAATTCCACAGTGACACTTTGCTGCAAGGAGTTTCCTGACAGCTTGTTAAAATATTGTCATATCAGCTAAAAGTTAGCATGCAAGATTTCTCCTCAGGAGATTCATGTGAATGTCTGTGCACATCACACTGAAGCACGCAGTACCGTGGTCCCTGAATTTAATATATTATATATATATTACAGTGTTGAGAGTGTAAAAGAATATTCGTAACTTGCTTCTCAGTGTTGCTTCAACACTCTTCCCTGTGTGTGTTTGTTTATCAGTGTGAGTGTGTGCTTCGCTGGTTGTCTAAGGCTCGTGTCCATTTGGAGTATCAGGTGTGAGCTTCATCAGTCGTAGTTATAAATAACCAGCTGACCCTCTGCGCTCTGCAGCCCCTCTGTCTCTTATTCTCTGTCTTTTTCGCTCTGTTGTCGTCTTTCTGCTTTGTCTGTGGTTGAACTGGTTCCTGTCTGTCTTGTGATGCTGAAGACCACGACTGCTCTGCTTCCCTTGTGAAACAGCATCTTCACCATCATCTTTCCACACTGTCTCGCAAAGTCTGTACATTATCTCCACACAGATGCAGTGTTGCAACTTTCAGTGTGGTGATCCAGTGCCACGATAAAGCTGTGTGATTAAAACCGTCTGGGATAAGTAGGCGTTTGTGGAAAATATGAATGTACAATATACATGGTTTAGTGACACGTCTCTATGGTAACGCTCACATGATTCTCACATATTGTAACTCATGATGTAAATTGGTGGGTTTTTTTCCTGGGGAGGTTTGTATTGCAATCTCTGCATTTATTAATTTCCCTGGAACAAGAAAAATCAGTATGCTATAAGGGGAACTTGTCTTGCTCTAAAATGTACCTTCATCCAGATATCAAAGATTGCTTGCACTGCGATAAGTGGTATTCCATGTACCATGCATTCACGCTCTAGATATCATATCGTCATTGCAACAATCTACAATATTATTGCATGTTTTCTAATATCGTGCAGCTTATTGGGTACCACCTGATGACATCAGCTCATGACTGAGATTTTACCCCAGCAGGTATATGAAGCGGAGATTAATTGTGTGTGTTTGTGTGTGTGTGTGTTGATCTGATTTGTGGTTAAGGTTAGGTTGTTCTTGGCTGGTGAAGCAGTAAGGTTGTTCTTGGTTGGTTAAGCAGTAAGGTTTTGGTCAATGCAAAGTCCTAATAAGGATAGCTGTGCAAACATGTGTGTGTCCCACTCAAAAGGGAAAGAGTGTTTCCATTGATAACAGCATAGAAAGGTCCCTGTGTGTATTTTGAGCCTGAACTCATTTGTATTCATTGATAAGAGACTGTAGAAGCAGGGGTCTGGATAAGAACACTATCATTTAAAAAAAGATTAACATTTTTCATTATGTCAGACCTATTCTGGGGACTTTTTGTTTTTTGTGGAATTTCTTATAGAAAGAACTTAAGAGATACTGTTTGCTTCGTTCACTAGACACAAATGCACACTGTGGCTTTTCGTCTGGTTCCTGTCGTTGGTTTTTTTTTTGGTAGCGCACTGACAACACTCCCTGCCTGTGCAGAAATATATTATAGCTTTGTTCCCTTTGTGCAACTGCATTTGACTCTTTGTTCTCCTGCTGCAGTTCCAATGGAGTCCCGACTGACAGATAGTCTGAGGGTTGTGTTCATCCTGACCATCCTCCTCGCCTCTGGTAAGCCAACCACAAACACTTTTTGATCTTAACTACTATTCCTTTAGCCTCATGTTCATTTTTTACAATTGTGTTTCAATCCTCTCTAACGCACCTGCGTCTGTGTGTGTATATTTTGTCTTCTGTCGTGATATTCCAGGAAAGACAAAAGCATTATATGATTGAAACTTCACACAAATGCCATATGTTTCCTCTGTGTGGCTGTGAGGTCTGGCATGTTCCAGTGAGGCTCGATCAGATATTAAGCTTGTGAAATGGTGTTCAGAAATGATTCAAAACTATGAAAATGGAAAAAGCTGAAATGTACGTGTGTGTGTGTGCACAGTTTAACTTCAGTGTCACACACAGCATTGTAGTTCTGTGCAGAGTAGTCTCCCTCCTGCCCACGAGCGAAACTGAATATGTAATATCAGAAATGAACAAAGATGCAAATGCAACATGCTAAAATACAAGAGCAATATATCAGTTGTATTTATGGCATCACTGTGTTTTCTGTGGCTTGTGTGATCAACAGAGGGAAGTTGTTCCACAGTGATTAAACCTCCCTCTGTCTCTGGTCTTGTACTGGTTACTGGCAGTTAGCAGAATGATGATCACGTGCAGGAGAAGCTAACCTCAAGCCTTCCTTTGTGTCCTTTCAGGCTCGAGTGAAAACGACCAGGACTTGAAATTTTGTGGCACCTGGCGTCATGGCAATCACCGTCTGCACCTGAGCCTCAACCTCTCTCCAGGCTGCAATGGGATCTCCATCTCAGCCAATGAGAGCTCTCTGTCTGTCGAGGGGCAGATCACAGCCCAGTGTCGGCGGTCTGATTTGATCCCCCTAGACAAGTATGGACTCGATTTGGAGGAGGAAAGTACCTTCTGTCTGCACTGGGAACCGTTGCTGGACCAGTTAAAGCTGCAGGTAAATCAGTGGAATATTTTAATTATATAACATACTATACGAAAAAGTTAATATAACGCAGGTAATGCTTCCCCCCTCATGTGGCTCAGTGACAGGAATGTTATAGACAAAACAAGACCGTTGTTCTGCCTTTTAAAGAAATAACAGCTAGAGGATTTTTTTCTTGGCAACCTGCAGTAGCTGTTATTAGATTCTTTCTTATGTTAAGTGTTTTTGTGTTTATTTTCACAGCTTGGAGAAAATAACCTCACTCTGTGCTGGCCTGCCAGCCTGAAGGGCTCCTGTTGCACAGATCTGACTCCGGGCCCCAATCAGCCCCAGGCCAACTTCGGCATCGTCAATGGAAGAATCCAAACAGACATCATCAGCCACAAAACGCACATTGCCTACAAGTTCCATGGACAATCCATCAGCTGCAGTAAGGAAGATATTCTTTATTGTTCTCTGCTCTAATAAGACAGGTTTCAGTCATTATCTTTTGTTCAGTCAAATGTTTATATGGATACTCAGATTATATTTGTATAAATAATCAAAAGATGATACAAATGAACTGCAGAATGTGATTTTAGGATTCACAGTTTTGAGTTAAACATGTCAAACTAAAAACTGCTTTTCTTTTTTGCAGAAGCCCTATGTGACCAAGCGAGACGCGGACGCACCCAAGTCAACATGTAATTTCCTGTTTTTTTTAATCAAATGAATGAGTGACAGCTTGTGTTCGTCATTGTGTTTATTGCTAAGGCCACTGTTGTAAAACGTTGTAATCAGTAAACAGTAATCTACCACGTAAACTTTGACCATTTACAGGACACAAAACTTTGAAGCACACTCGGGTGGGGAGGTACAAACTAAGATAAACGTTCTTTATTCAAATGACTGACTGTGTGTGTGTGTGTGTGTGTGTGTGTGTGTGTGTGTGTGTGTGTGTGTGTGTGTGTGTGTGTGTGTGTGTGTNTGTGTGTGTGTGTGTGTGTGTGTGTGTGTGTGTCCAGGATTGAAGAAAATACTGAAGATCCCTGCGCTCGCAGCATTGAGGTGGACATGAGCGATGATTTCAGAGGTTACAACATCACATCTCCCGTAAGACAAACACACCAGCATTACTCGCTGTTACAGTCTAGAGGGAAGTAGAACTTATAGAAATATCATAAACCATGATAAGATCAACAAGTCTGTCTCTCAATAGCTTTTGCTGATACATTTCTTCCTGTGTCCTGCATGCTTTTACCACACGCCACTTCTCGCCTGAACACTCTGGAGTTTTTGCAAATGTGTCTGACCTGAACAATCTTCTGTTGCATTCATTGAATAATGTCTTCTCTCAACTTCAATGTCAACAAGAAAAACCTACCATTGACCTTCCCCTATATTCTTTGTAAACTTGGTGTCGACACAAAAAGCCTATGTTGCATATTGTGTATGCAGTATTTATTAGTGTTAGGGCATTTTGGAACTAGCTGGCTCAATACCTCTTTATTCTCCAACTCCGACATATCCCGGCATAATGTTGATGACGGTGGTCGAAGATGAGTGACGAGTGGTAGGCAGGGAACTGGAGTGTTCTAAGTGAACAATGGTAGCATCAGCAACTGTTTGTGCCTCCAAAGTGTGAAAACTCACTTTGTCAGACTGCTCTCTTTGAATCCGTGGCTTAGCAGCGTTTGAAACAAGACAGTATGTTTTCATTCATATGGAGGCTGGTGGTGATTTAGTTCACAGAAATAGGTGAGAGTTTGACCACATGAAAGTGCCTGGTCCCACGGTTTTACTGAGAAGTGGAGGATGGCTGTTTACAGCTGATGTTTTTTTTCCCTCCAAGCTACCTTAAAATAGAGCCATGTGCGTAAGTACCCAGCAATCTACACACTGTCTACTCATTACGACTGTGAACACCACGGGGCTGCGATGCACACTCAGGGGCAGAGCAGCACGGTGGTACAAAGTCCTGTCAACACTTGTTTTGTTGACATTGTTCCTAAATCCTGTGTTTGACTGGAAAATTACAGATTTTTTTCAAATGCTAACAAGCATTTATCAATACTGAAGCCACTTTTTCAGAACTCCTAATACAGTCTGCATTATCAACGCAAGTCAAATAAGAAACAGTCCAATTTGCAAAAAAAAGTGATAAAAAGTGATAACAAATAGCAATAATTTGTAACACATAATTACAAATTGGTTCAACTTTTCTTTATGCTCTTCTCATACGCTTGGGAAAAAAACAAATTTGTGGATCTGCTGACACCATTATTATGATCTGCAGGAACCAAATGCAGTTCAGTCAGGCAACTCACGTTCAAATGTTTATTGCAGCAGTAGAACAGGTTTGTGTTTGGTGTCTGGGCTCCCACTTAATCACCCCCCCGATATGATTACACAGATATTATGGGAGTGACAAGCAGATACTTGTATCCCCCTGTCGGAGCCTACTGGTGGCTGCTGGGGTGGTGGAGGGTTCCAAACCCTGGTGGGCCATCTTTAACTGTCCTGTGTCCTCTCTCCATATATTCTGTTCTTCAGGTCACAAAAGGTGTATTTGAAGAGTCCACTGCCATTGTCCATCTCCCCCCTGCTCTCAAACAAGCTGCGAAGACCACCACCAAAGTTGTCTGCACATTCTTCAGAAACAACACCCAGTTCCAGGTGAGGCTCTATTTGTCCTCAGTCAACATGAGCAGCCTCACACACCTGCCTGTCCGCCACGTCTCATGTTCACAAGCTCAAAGCAAATCTTTGTCCCTTGACAAGGATGATATAAACCTGCTGCTTTTATTACTGTGTGTTTATATGTAGGCTGGATTATATGAGGAGTATGTGAAGGTGTGTTAAATGTGTGTGTGTTTGTGTGTGTGTGTGTTTGTGTTTGTGTGTGTGTGTTTTCCAGGAGGTTCACAAGGAGATCAGGATTCTCAGTGAGGTGGTGGAAATCACCGTGGAGAACGAAGTCATCACTGATCTGCCTGAGCCAATCAGGATTGACTTTTACCATGATGCCACACCTGTAAGTCTTATTGCTTTTGTCTGTGTCAGTGTGATCAATATCCACATTTTCTACTGTCTGGATGGCGGAGTATACGATGCCACACACAGTTAATATGGTAATATTGGGTTTACTTCAGGAAAAGTATTTCTTAGTCCGTGTCAGGTATGAACAGCACTGCTGCTTATTCTCGAGCCTAGAGCGTCCCCCTGAAACTGAGACACAGCTGGGACAAATGTATTGTCACTGCGATGTATGTGCTGTAACAAACACAGCTTTTCAAATGTGGGTTAGCTGCAGATGGTGTTGAAAAAAAAAAACACCAAGATGTTCATTTTCAGTTCTGTGACGTCTGACGTCTGAGTCTGTCTGTCTCGTGTTTTTGTGTACAGAGAACACACAAAAACCACTTCGTCTCTTCTCTTAACTCACATTCTGCAAAAAAAGATAGTCCTTCTTACTCTGCTTATGGTAGTCTTCTCTGTAATGTGCACGTACACACACACACACACACACACACACACA